AATTAAAGAAACTGTCTGTAATTTTATTGAACATATTCATGGAATCTCACAAAAATATTCACAATTAAAGCTAGAACTTGTAAAATATGCAAACTATAGATGTCACTAGCTATAAATTGACGTGTTACTGATTTTCTAGAATGGGAGGCCCAGGCATCATCGCGCTTGATAGACCAACAGTAGTCTGCAAGCATGGTGGCATTCCAACGACCTTGATAGCGAACTTCCATGTCGCTGATATCTTGGTGGAAGCGCTCCCCTTGCTCATCGCTCACATCACTTGGATTTTAGGAAAACGAGCATGATGACTGTGCAAAAAATGAAAATTGATGCTCATATTTGCACCCATCAGTTGACGGAGACTTGTGAGTACAAGCTCTTTGTAAATGGGCGCCTTGTTTTTCCCAAAAAGAATTTTACTCCATTTGTAAACGCCGTCCAAGCACTCAATTATGTTGAATTTATAAAATTACATAAAGTTGCGTCATTCATTAATTTTGGATCTGAGGTCCATCAAAAATTCCAGCTTTTAACCTGTCAATTTCCTGCAAATATATTTGAAACAGTCGCCATCGTTCTCAAGAGCCTTCACAAACTGTTTCATGATGTCAAGCTTTATGTGAAGAGGAGAAAACACAACTTTGGAACGCTCGACCAAAGGAGGAGCCAGAAATCATCTCACTGAGCCAGTGGCGTGCCTAGAGGTGGGTGAAGGAGGCAACCGCCCCGGGCAGCACATTATAGGGGGCAGCAGAACCAAGCTGTAGAGTTTGCGTTATTACACATGCTCTTCTAGATGTGTTCTTATTTAATTAAAAGCCAACATTATGTGTTCTGTGGTGATGGTTATTCTACAAGGGTTGACCTCAGAAAAAAATTTCCTATGTTTTTACAATTGCAACATTTTTGATGCTTAGTTTAATAAATCAAACGTTTCTTTTTTACTTGAACTTTATTTGATTTATTCTCGTGCATGACGACATCTATAATCTGTTTATCACCCAAAAATATTTTAGAAGTCAGGTATAAGGGGCAGCATTATCAGAAACTCGCCCCGGGCAGCACTAGTTTGGCACGCACCTGCACTGAGCACAGGCTTTTTTTATCCAATGCCCTGTTCTTGCCGCGCTGTTCCACAAACTCAATGAGCAAAGAAATTTTGTGTAGCCACCTTGTAGCCCAGGGAGAAATCCAATCATTTTCAATAGAAGGTTATGAGGGCTCTAGGCTTAAGTTAATTTTTTTTTTTGAGTCTTGAAGCTAGATGTTCAGAAGATTCTTTGGAAATATTGAGATCTCTAGTTAGATCATCAAGTTCTCATTGAGAAACAAGAGAGCTATGCTCAAATATATGGACACGTAGCGCCATCCAATGGCAATAATTTTGATGACGTCATAGCGAAAAAAAAAAGTAATAGCCTTCTGGAGAAAATTTTTATCTTCAACCACTGAAAATTTCAAAGCAATTGATCCAGTATTCGAAGAGAAAAGCGACTTTTTAAAAACGTGTCAAAGAACAAGAACAACAACAACATAATATTGAAACGATCGTTATGTTCACTACGTGTCCAAAAAGCTGTGGCAGTGAAGAAGAAGAAAAACCGACATCTGAAACAGTGCCTCTATTACTATCAGTGGACAAAACGGAGGTTTGGTCTTCTCCAGAGCCAGGCAATTCCAATGCGGGCAAGCCTTCAAACATTGGAACAGCAATATCATTGCAGTGTGGGATTGGCCTAATTGCAGCCTAAAGGTTTGGATAAACTAGAGATGACACACCTGCGTGCCGCATGCAGCCTGCCAAGTAATTTCGTGCGGTCCGCGAAGCATTTAGGCCAGCGGTTCCCAACGGGTGCGGCGCATTAGTGCGTCGTGACGAGTGGATAGGTGCGCCGCGAAGATTGACGGAATATTTTAGATAGTATATTTATTATACATGTTCTTTTGTTCCTTATTTTCAATGTTGTGTATATAATTCAAAATATATCTTTTTATGTCGTTTACTTCCTGTTGCGTAGTGTCTGCCTCTAATGTTACGTAAGGATAGAGGGATAAACTCCTTGGTGCAATTTCGTGAGCTGCAGTTCATATATATACTGAACAGAGTTTAAGCAAATATGGGTGATTTTTTCAGCATTTCGGGGGAAAATCGAGCAGAGATGAGAAAGACGAGTTGACTTTTGCCTTTATTCCTTATGCCCACGTGTTTTAAAACTTTATAATGCATAAAGTACACATTAGCGATAACAAAATTGATTTTTATTTGAAAAAACCTTCTTCGTGTAAGTGCGCCGTGAGTTTTTTCCGCAATAATTTGGCGCCGCATGAACAAAAATTTTGGGAACCGCTGATTTAGGCGATTAAGAGTGTATGTTTGGCTGGAAGTCATTAACCCTCAGTGACTGTACAGAGAAAACGGGAGCGCCCGTTTTACTGGGAGCGCTATTTCCAATAATCTTATTACTGGCAACGCTATTTCCAGTACAGCTTGTCGTGTTGGATCATCGATACCTTTAACAAAACAAGAGAGCAATGCTCAAATATATGGCCACAAAAGCTATTTACAATAATTGCATCACGCTGTTAAACCAGCAAATATTTTTTGCATTGATAAAACCGCGACCACCATATTTCATAACATGTTGAGTACTATTGGAAACATTGTAATGCTTCTTTATTGGCATATTGATGTTGTAGAGTTCAATAATTAAGCGTGTCGCTGCGGAAAAACAAGCACAAGGTCCTCACTTCTGAATAAATATGAGTTTTTATACATATGCATTGCTGAAGATTTCCGGTTATTTTTAATTATAAAAAATTATTTTGGAGAATTTTATTCGGCATCACGTGGAAAGATACTTACAATGAGAATAGAGGCGTGGGAACATGAAATCCGTTGTATGACGCATTCAGCTCTATATAAAACTTTTTATCTTGACAAATAAGTTCCCCAAATAGAGTCCACTCATCTATACAAACAGTTATTCAAATAGAGATTTAGATAAGGAATATCAACACAAGAAACTGAAATACCATCCGTGTCCTTAGTCGAGTACGTCCACATTCGGCTTCTTTTGCTCAAACCTTAGAATATCGTCGTAATGGGAAACGCATCGCTCGTGTAAAGGTTCACTCGGACGTGTAATTTGACTCTTGTTCAAGTTCAGGCAGTGTTCGTTGACATAGAAACACTCGTGTACTTTATTCATGTTCCGAATGGCAGAATCATTCCAAACGGATAATGCACTGACACTATGGTGTTCAAAACCATTTTTACTCAATTTCTATCAATGCCACCAGAAGTTTTGAATTATTTTGATTTCATAAATCACTGGTAACTTGCAACATATACAGTAGGGGTGGCCAACACGTGGATAACGATCGACGTCTCGAGCAGTCGATCGCGTCTGATGTTGGGTGAACTTTATTGAAATCCCACACCCCCAGAAAATTGCAAACCAGTTGTGTGTTTTGCAGCAGGAAGAACACAGTACTTTACATGCGCAAAATACAATATACACATACAGTATTTGAGTCTGGCCAAGCCCGATAAAGCATATTATTAGGTAACAAATGCAAGTTTTTCCGCTGCCAGGGTTTAAAAATGAATTGTATCTAAATTGTATGATTTGAATAAATCTTAAATAAATGATGAAACGTTTACCCCGGGTACAAAAAATCAAATTAACAACTTAAAAGGAACATAAAAAATACAAATTTTGTGTCGATTTTAATAATAATGTGCCAACAAAGAGCCTTCTTATTGGCAGCGGTGGAATTTTTTGTATGCGTGTAGTTATCTACATATTCAGTACTCATTCGTTTTTGTGTAGGACCCTATTACCGATCAGTCGTTCGCGATCTATTTGGCAGATTTTAGTCGATCGCGGACGAAAGCAGGTTGGCCACCCCTGATATATATACAGTATCATATAATGCACTCATACTAAAACGGCTGACTCGTCGTTTCATGAGTAGTTAGAATTGGTTGAAATCCGGTAATAATATCAATGATGAAGATTCAAGAGTTCATCATTCCAAACTTTAAAAATTATATTGCTAACACAAAAGATGTTTGCCAATGACGTATTGGGGAACTATGTGCCTGGGAATTGCACAGACGGTGCTTTCTCCACTTTACTGTTTATATAAGAATTTTAGTTACATATTGGTTTACGTGTATGTGTACGTATAAATATGTACGTATTCCTAGTTTAGATCGATGAGTCGGCTGATACATCTTCGAAATCATGTAACTCTGTACTAAATAGGAGTAGATAAGGAAATGTCCTGTGGTAATATAAATTTGTATATTTTTGGGCTTTCCACGAAATTTGCTTGAATATCTCAACTTACATAAGATGACAGTGTTTGAAGAACCGATTTTGTGAGAAGTGAGTGAGGGTAGTAGGGTCTTCATTTTTCGCAATTGTACAACTAAAAAAAATAGAATGGTTATAGTTATACAATTCTAATCTACGAACTTTTTTGCACAAAATTACAAGGATTTGGGGTCTGCCGTTACGTGACAAATTCACTCCACGACTCTGTCGATTTGATTGCGGTTCTCGGATGAAATTTAAACCGTCCACAGCTCTTTTAAGTTACTATTAGAATATCTGCAGAATTTTTAAAGCTATAGGTTCGAATAACATTGCCAATTCAGTCTGTAAATATCGCCCGGCTCTCAACTTCCAAATTGTGAAAATGACAACACCGACCTCAAAGAGCCTTCGTCGAAATTATGAAACTTGTTACTCTTTCTCCTCGACAAGTTCATGTTTTATTTATGTTCATTTTATTTTCTTCGTCCCGTGCTATTAAAGAATTCGCCATCAAGTGCAAATTCCATTTTCTGATAACTAATCACCATGTCGTAACGCCGTCTCATTTATGGGCTGTTTACTACATAAACAGTTGTGACACGTAACTTAACTGTTACGTATATATAGTCTACAATACATTAACTTATTGTGTGTTTCCTATACACCGTTTTATGTCAAATATATACATTATTTATGACTATCTATTATCAATTTGTTAAATATGTGATACGTATTAGACCATGATGAATCTGAAAGTTGGAATTCTCCTGGCCGTTTCACTGTTTGCAGTCTGCTCAGGTAACTGTTACTAAATATGTCTAATTATTGGTTTGACAATTCTTTAAGATTCACAAATGTATATACGATGGGAAAACGCCAACTGGCCACGAAAAAAAATTCTTTGGATGAGTAGACGTTTTATCATAACTTTGCTATGATTGGCACGTATGTTTGTCCATTTATCTATGTATGTCAAAAATTCGTTTTTAGCGGACAGCTGCAGCAATAACAGATGCGGAACATTCGATTTGAATGCGTACGACTGCCAATGCAATGGCGAGTGCATATATCACGGAAATTGCTGCAGTGATTACAGTACACTGTGTGATCCAGAGTGAGTATCCAACACAATTTTGCTCTCCCATTGAATTCTTTTTAATTCATGCTACAGCCTGCATTACTCTCCTATACTTTCATAGCGCTACATGCAGCGGACGAACATGCTATAACGGACACGACACCGGCAAACCTTGTCAATGCAACGACTATTGCGTTCAGTATAACGACTGCTGTCCCGATTTTCCAGCTGCTTGGTAGGACTTTTTTCGTCTCGCCATTGGTGCGTGATGGCAATACAATGGGTTAATGATTCTCTCTATTCTTAGCGATGGTAGCAACGTCGTAGAATCATGCGCTGGTCGGTGTGGACCTGGAACTGACACAGGCGCTAGTTGCCAATGTAATTCATATTGTCTACAATATGGGGATTGTTGCTCTGATTACTCGGAAATGTGTGAATCTGGTGGAGGAGGAACATCAACGACTAACCCAGGATCTGGCACCTCTTGTTGTGAGTAAATCGTCAGTGAAAGTATCTCCAACATTTTAGCAGGCTCTGCTATAATGTTTAAACAAGGGGTCGGCAACCTTTTGTCGCTCGCGGGCCAAAATTATGGGGTTGCAAGTCATTGGCGGGCCGCACATATTTGTTGACTCGTTGAAAACCGAACGGATGATACTTTTTATAATTAAAAATCAGGCAGTGATACATCTCTTTATTTACTCATTGCATTGCATCTCGAAAAATTCCATTTCAATTTTTTCAGCGCCATTGAACCATTTGCACTTAGCATCAACTTTTCTGCGTTCTGTTACCATTTGTCTAATTATAATTATAGGCTTACTAAACGAGTAATTGTGAATTTTATACTTGTTTGATTACAATATAATTTAGTCTACACGTGTATCACAGTGAATTCTGTTACGTAAAGAATATAATCGTCAAAACAGCTGTTTTGTTACTATTAATTCATTGAATCGTCGCGGGCCGGATTATATCACCTCGCCGGCCGGATACCGGCCCGGATACGACAAAAGTCGTAGGTTCATGTCACTATAAAATGTGAAATCAAAATATTTTTCTCATTCAGCCTCGGTATCGGTGTCAAATAGTGAAATAGTGGCAGTTTCATATAACTTATGGTCAATGGATGTCAATGCTGCCGGCCCAAATGACGTAACTTACGACTTACAGAGCTCCACCACTACGGGTGCAACAAATGATGCAGCACCAGGCCCGTAAGTTTCAATATGACCAACCACCAAGCTAAAATCTCAGATAATCATACATAAGTAGAGGTATAGTCACGTGCATACACGTACTGCCTGGCGGAAAATGGTTTACTATCGATAACTATAACATTGAGGAACAAACTAATATTTACTTTTGCTCTGAGTAGTTTTACCAAAATTTTGAATCGTAAAAAATTGTTGCGATATAGTGGTGTCCGTAATCAGACTAAACTTTTAGCGAGATATCAATAATATCTCTATAACTTGAATCAGCGATGGAGATTTTGACTTTGTATCTAAATAAACTTAGCTTTCATTTTGCAGGTTTTTTACTTACGTTAATGAGGCAGTTTTCCAGCGAACAACATTTCAAAAGCTCCGAGCTATTCAAGATAATTATATCAGAAAACAAGGATTTACTGAAGATGTCACTGCTCAAGAAGAACAGGAAAATTCGGACTTCCTAGATGCCGTTCTCAGTACTGAAATTGGGCAGTACTTGTATGAATTTCTTGACAGTAAAAGTAAGGCTTCAAAATTCAATATGCTTCTATTACCATTCGATTGCAACCCCGAATGCGTGAAATTGCGTTGAAAGCATTATTTTACTTCAGATGTAAAATATGTATTAAGTTCGTGCGCAGGTAGTGTGATTGAGCACATCTTCAATATAATTATACAGGGTGGTAAAAAAGTAACGCAAAATTAACAGAAGTTAAGATGAAATGCTACTCAAAACATTTAACGACTGAAGTATTGAACGAGGAAATACCATTTAAACATTTCACGGCTAACGCTTTTAACAGTTACTTTTTAAGGTTGCCATAACTTAAAATTTTACCTTAATTTTGCGTAACTTTTTTAACATCCTGTGTATCGCCACATTTTATAACACAAATATAACCATTGCATCCTATCATTTAATAATCTTAAGTTCATTCTTGTTTTTAGACCTTGCCGGATGTAATGGAATTGAAGGTTTCAAGCAACTCCTGAACGTCATCTGGTTTGGAATGTACGACAGATCAGCGCCTGATGACACAAGCGGGTAAGCTATTTACCTAATAACAAAACATTTTCCCCCTATTTCTAAAAATAATATTTCATATTTATATAGATTTGAGCATTCATTCGTAGGAGAAATCAAAGGAACTAAAGTATCGGGTTTCCACAACTGGATGTATTTTTACTACGAGGAACAGTATGGGAATTTCAACTACCAGGGTTATGTTAGCCAGCAAGAAGTGAGAGTTGATTCGACTTTATTCTATACTTACTCAATAAATGTAGAAATTAACTGGATTAAGTCATTAATATCTGTACGGAGACAAATACCGTATCTTCGTGACGGGGTCGGCAACCTACGGCCCGCGTGGCTCCACTGAATTATAGTAACAAAACAGCTGTTTTGTCGATTATATTCCGTACGTAACAGAATTTATTTTAAGACTAAATTATATTATAACCTAACAACTATATACTTCACAATTACTCGTTTAATGAGCTTATCATTTAATAATAAATAGATAAATGAAAACAAAACGCAGAAAAGTTGATGCTAAGTGCAAATGGTTTAAGGGCGCAGAAAATATTCAAATGGTCAGTCTTCGCGGGCTGCTTGAAATTTAACTTCTGATCTGTGTGAAAAAATGTGATTCATCGGTCATCCGTTCCGTTTTTAGTTTTCTAAAAATAGGTGCGGCCCGCCAATGACTTGCAACCTTTAATTTTTGCCCGCAAGCGACAAAAGGTTGCCGACCCCTGGGTACACGGTTCGATAAATCGCAAGGTTTTTTATTTAAACTTAAAATATATATATTTTTTTTTAACTTGACATTTTCAGCAAAAGACGTTTCCTTTCCCTTATCGAGTTTAATTACAATACAACTTTTCTATAAGACACGTTTTAATTTGTTTTAAAGCGTTGATTCTGGCTTTTTGGCTATTCAATAATGTAAATTTGTCAATATTTATGCGAAAATGAGAACCCAACACCACTCTCATCTTTGCGTAAGTATTATCGAATCGACATTATTAATTTATGAGTTGGAATAATAATATGGAGAAAAATCATCGATGAAGTCGATCAAAAGTGAAAAATAACAGTTTTTAAAGAATAGTAGACATACCTATGTAGAAGTAAAATGGTTTTTGTAAATATTGAAATCAAATATTTTATTTCATAATAGCCTAATATGGTGGGCATGAGGCATACATGGTACGGAGCACCTAAAAGTATGAATGGCTTTACAATTGGAACAAGTCCAGAAATTGAACTCGCCCTATATACTCTTTGTTATCTGACAAGACCTGGAAGTCTGTAAGTATATCCGATTTAGCTACCGTATTTTCTCCAATAGTGCGATGTGTGTTTCCATGACTCCGATGTATAAAGACCCGTAGTTAAGAGTCTTCGAATATCATGTCCAAAATGAGGAAGGAATATCGAAACAACATGACTATCAATGTTCGATTCAGATGGCGATTAGAGCCATATTTTCATTCCTACTTCCGGCGGACACCGGAACGTAGTATGCGTACCAGGGTAGGGTTAGGCCATGATTTCAGGTACAAATACTACGGGAGTCACTTAGCTAGTCCCCAAACTTGTGATAGAACTAAAATAAAATTGGAATAAAATTATGGCCTAACCCCAACCTGGTACAAATACTACGTTCCTGTGTCCGCCATCTTGGTTCACACACTTCGGGAGCACCATTCAAACTTTAGAGGTAGACTACTTGCTACCAATAGATGGTAGATGTGGCACCTTTTCCCTATATTAATGCTCTATCTTTCATGTCTAAGGAAATGCTAATGGTTTATTTGTCATTTAAACTGAATAATTAAGAGTGTCTTTAAATACTCATTGTGTTTGTTTATTTTTAAGCTGCACTATCAATTTGTCTGACGAGTTCGGAGAAGCGGTTGAAAGGAAAATTCAAACATGGACTTGGGGTGGTGAACAGGCGCAAGGTTATCCCAAATATATCGCCTCTGCATACTTTTTGACATAGCTTGCGTAAGCGATTCCCAAACAAGAATAGTGCCAATTACTGATGAAACGATTTAATATAATAAATAATTAATATTGACTAATTTCAATATATATAAACTAATAAATTGTACTGTGAAATCTATTCTGGTCGAGAAGTAGTACAGAACATTTTAAAAACATCGTAGCCAGTTCGTTACGCTTGAAATTTCGAAAAAATACCAACCGGCTCATCGTATTTTTACTTGCGAAATTGAAGATATATCGATAACTGGACTCCCCGAGACGAAAAGCAAATAATCTAACAGATCGGTATAGGCGGTCACTATTGATCTCCGCTGTTGCGTCGTCAGTTTAGCGTTGCAAACGGATTGTACCTTGAAATGGGTAAGATTGTACCTTGAAATGGGTTGCGCGATTCAAACAAGCAACTTCTTAAAGATCTAATGCAATTAGCACAATACGCGTTAGCAAAAACCCGAGCACATTCACCACGTCCAATTCTGATTTTTATCGAGCATATGTAGTGCCATAACTAAAACATTAATATATATGCGAGATATCTTCATGCTCATCTTGAAAGAAAAACGAGAGAGCAATTTCTGAAACAGCGTTGAAGAACTGGATTTGGATGTAAATACCATACAAGCCGGTAGGCGTCCAGACGGATCTCCGCTATTGCTTGAGGCCCGTCATTTCAATTTACTAACGGATAATAAGGAGACGCCATTGTATCGAGAAAATTGTATCAAAACTGCCAGTTCAATAAGGCGATGTGCGTCTAATCGGTATCCATGGGCGAAAGTTATGTTGTGGCTAATAATTAAAACATGTTCACTGAAATTTTTAAGGCTTTCTCAGCTTATGGACTATCGAGCAGCATTCTCAGAATTTTAATACTCGACTTGATTGACGAGGATATGGCGGAAATGGGAATATTTTCAACGATCGGTGCGTTTTTCGCTGCTGTCGGAACAGCAATTAGGTCTTTCGGTGAAACGCACATAACTAGGGTGACAGGATAACCCGTGTGTGAAATTCATACAGATCAATCCAGCTGTTAAGACTCTACGTCTACGGCTTCGACACACAGACAGATACACAGACATGTCAATTGAGAATAAGGGTCTCCTAGAGCGGAGATCCAATAACCAATGAGAGGTTTATTTGGTTCATATGATGGTAGATTTGTTATGAATGAGACATTTTCATTCATACTCAACGTTTACTTGCTGTTGAATTACTGTAGGTCAGTGGTTCTCAAACTTCTTGGTATTGCGAGACCTTTTTTGCAATGAGTTTTATTCAAACGAACAAACAGAACATAGTGGAAGTCGGTGAAATCACATTTAATTGGTTGGGTGCATTTGCATCTTTCCACAAATCTCATTAAACCTTGGTGTGATTTTGAGAGAGCCGCACGCATTTCTCTCTCAACATTTACTCGAGATCGATATTACATCCTGATTACCGCCATGGTGGGAAAACCGGATACACATAAATACGAAGGGGATGAGAGTGCGCAGCGTTTTTTAACCGAGGAAGGCTAATCCTCATTCAGGGAAATCCAAAAACTCATTAGTTTTTCAGAATTAAACCTTCTTTTTATAACACCATCACAAGTAAAATCGATGTGATTTTCCCTCCCTTTCAAAAGGATCATAAATCCACTCATAAACTGATAGATCTTCAGGAAAGTATGACTCAAACTTTTCTTCAAGCTTAAATATATGTTCAGCAAATTTTGTTTGCACATGTGCGAGCAATAACATAATATCCTTCTTTAAAAGGAGGCTGGAGACAAAACAAACGCTGTAATTTTATCAGAGACTTCAAATACGTTTTTGTCCTTTCCATGCAATATCACATAAGTACGCCAAGTTTAGTACAAATATGTTTTGTGCGAGGTAGTCGGCAAGTGCATTTTGTTCCTGCAGTAAAAATGAGTTCTTCAATGAGTTCGTACACTTGTTCAAGCGATTTACCCAACTAAAGTCACCTCGATGTTGAGTAAAACACAAAACTTTGATGTTCCGCATTCATTTCCGTGCACAATTTCTCAAAGCTTTCAGTAGACGGGTTTTGATAAAGTTAATGATTTTGGAAACGACATCAACCGTTCAAAAAAGAATCAGTTCTTTAGCAAATAACACCTCACGGTGTATCGTGCAGTGTGTCCACCTGTCATTGGCGCATTCTCTTGAATTAGACTTCGTAACAAGTGAGACGACCAGACATAGCTCTGGCACCAAAAGATTGATTCCTCGACATCCCAATTCAATTTGTCAGCAAAACAGCAACTCTTCTACAGCTTTTTTGTCATCAAAGTACATAACATATTAAATGGGCATCCTGGCTACTATCAGTGCCTTCATCTAGTTGTATGCCAAATTCCTTGCCTTTGAGATGATCAATCAATTGATCATGAATATCGTACCCTATGGCCTATTTCACCAATTCGACAACATATAGACTAGTGTCTAATTTAGTGTCATTATACATAGGTATGATCTTCAACTTTTCGGGGATGCAGAGCCCATCATCGTACTCACAATATCAAGGGCAGCATGTAATATAAGTTCTTCAGCAATTGTATGAGGCTTTTTACATTTGGCAATACGGTGTACAACTAAATAGTAAGGTAATACAGACTTTGATGGCAATTTGGTGAAGTGGGAAATGGTGGATACTTGACGATTAGGTTCTTTAATTTCCGAGTAAAAAAAATTCGTTGTTTTTGGGGATGCGATTTTGGGGATGGGGATGTGATTAAAGAATTATAAATGAATGACATGCATTGCTTAAGCTGATCCACTGTGTGTGATGTCATAATAGAAACAAACAATTTTAAATTACCCTTGGATATCTTCTTAAACCCACATAAATGTTTGTAGCCATGAAAACTATTTCCAAAATATAACCTGTAAGTGAATCATAATTTGGCTTTCAATCAGTAATGAATACTGGGATTGCTTACTTAATTTCAGATAACATGAATCAATAATTTCCTTATTATATTATTAATATTATTATATATTATTACTTCATATATATAAGGCACCAAGGCCCTAAGTGCTCAGAGCCGCTAAAACTGTAAACGGCATGAGCCGACCCTGGATCGAATAGACTAAACTTTTGAATATTAGGAACTTTCATCACCGTAGCTTCCGTCATACAAGTATGGATACTGAAAACCTCAAAGTGAGAACCATATAGAAGAGATCTAGGCACAGTCGGTGAGTTGGGAAGAAGCTCAACACTGTTTTGCTGTTAAAGTGGCTGCATGGGTTTTGGCCATCGCCAGATTAACCATTAAACAATATGTGCATAGGGCAACGAGGGACACCACAGAAATTTTTATAGCAGAATTTAATATAGTTTATCGGTGTTTATTTAAAATATTACGAGTTCACCATACGATTCAAACTTCAAAATGTTTGCTTATTTTTCGTCTTCAAGTATCATATTATCCTTCTTTATCAAAAATAAACACCGAAACTTATTTATTGGTCACGAAATGGGCCTATGAGTCGTTTTGTAAAATTGTTGTTGATTTTTCTTTCTATTATTCTCCTTGTTGCTGCATTTTTGGTTCAAAAAAATTTATTTTCTTTACAAAAATTAGACCAATGAACTACTTGCACTATGTGGCTGTTCCACGATCGCATTTTACCGATCTAGTGGTCAGCGACGTTGGGAGTTTTTAGATAAGGTAGACCAGAGTGGTCTACCTGTCATTCTGATACATTCCGTGCGGCCCACAGAACAATTTTAGCGTATATTTGTATTCAATAGCAGAGCGTTTTGGGGTTTTTCAGATATTCCGAGATCCAAACTCTTTTTTCTAACGCTTTGTGCCTTTGTTTTAGTAAAAACACTCCTCTGTTTTCAAGCGTGGGCCATGTGACAGTAGTGACAAAACGCAGAGCCGACTTTACGCCGCGCAATCCAGTATATTTCAGCAAGGTCCAGAAATACCAACTTAGATGGACTTGATGGTTATTTGACGATGGCACTAAGCTTGCTCACGCTGCAAGTTTTTAAATTACTTAAATATAACAATTCGTAACAAAATGATTGTCACAAGAAAAGTGGCATAAGGAAAACTCGGCGGAAACGTATTTCCTTGCCCATCACACAGTGTCTGGTTTGATTTCAAGTAATATCTGTCACGAAAGAATATAATTTGAAGCGACATCAAACACGAGATGCGGAAAATACAACGTTAATTTTAGGGAATTAATTTATAAACAAGAATATCGGTCGGAGACCGAATACTTATCGATCGAAAGTTAGGGGACCCCAAAACTTCGATTCATCCGCTCTGACTTCATAGCGACACCGTGTGTCTAATCACTAATTAATCATTAACTCGCTAATTATACGACATAATTCATTCAAATCGATAGGCTTCTGGTCCGAGATATGATGAATTCACATGCAAAGTTTGGAGCAGATTCAACCTCCCGTTCGTGAGATATTGCGTACCATACGAAAGTGTCTAACAGACAGGCGAACAAACAAACAACCTATGAACATACTTACCGATCACGATCGATAAGTAATAACTGAAGGCTTTATATATCTTCTTTAAAAGAACGCCACCCATGCAACATAATAATGGTCTGATTAGAACGGTAAAATCTCGTTGTTTATTAAATTAAAAGTAAGTAAACTCGGGATATTTCGATCACTTTTGGGTTTTCTCCGACTTGCGGCCCGCGAGACCTCCTCAAAAGTTTTTGCGGTCCTTTTCAACCTAGCAACCTTGAACCACCCTGAGGTAGACTACAAGGTACCGGTAAAATTGCAAACTACAGTTGTGACTTGTATCCTTAGGTATTTTGATTCACGTTGAGACTGGAGGCATGAATCTTTGTTGTCACACTCTTTCAGGATTAGAGCTCAACCGTTATATCGGCCCGATGTTGTGTGTTTGCCGATATATCATATCGGCAGTAAACGACCGATATATGTATATGGAATTTCATGATCTGCATTCCATTTAACTGCTGAATCGAGTTTAGCGAACACGAGTGATTGTTTTAGCATTTCCATTGATATTGCATAGACCCACATGTGTACAAACTTACAAAGGCACAAAGTACATATTAACGATCACAAAATTGAGTTTTGTTTGAAAACAGCATTTTTTTCGTGTAAGTGCGCCGTAAGTTTTTTCCCTGATGAAATGGCGCCGCGCAAACAAAAAGTTTGGGAACCGCTGGCATAACACTTCAAAGCACAACTACGTTGATGCCCAGGTCACCTTCAAA